GGTACAGAAAGTTTATCCAAAGCATTAATATAGAAAAGGAACAGAATTGGCCCCAATATGGATCCCTGAGGGACACCAATGTCTGTTTCAGTTTGCTGTGAGAAATGAGTGCTGATGACTACATATTGTGTACGTTTGAGTATAAATGATTTTATCCAATCTAGAGGGCAGCGTCTAATACCATACTTATACAGCTTTTCCAGTACAATGTCGTGATTGATACAGTCAAATGTCCAGCTGAGGTCACAAAAGATTCCAATAGGGCATTCTTCTGCCTCAATATATTCTATTATTTTTTGATAATAAGAAAACAACGAGGTCTTCGTAGATTTTTTGTTCAAATATCCATGTTGGTTTCTTTTTGGTTTGTCATATTCATGACAAAATGACATTAATCTATCCAAAAAACAAAACTCGAATACTTTAGAAAAAGTTGAAGGTACTGATGTTCGAAATATGAATGTTTCGTTTGAAATATTCTTATTTTTTTGCGAAAATAATTGGCATTCATTATTTCTGCATTGACCTGTCTTGGATCGTTGACTACAGTTCGTTCGATTCTCAACCTTTCGCAAACACAATCGATTGGCATCCTCTGAAGTGCAAAAACGAGATATATTATCTCTGCGGTTGGATCGTCATTCCTTCCGAATGTCTAGTTGCTGTGTCCAGTTATCTGTCCAAGAAAATAATGTTTTCGTAATTCATGTCTGTCGCCAAACAATATTCACTCTGTTCCAAATACTGGATAAAGTAGACGGCAAACAGCTTCGACAATAACGGCTCATCGCTGTGTCAATCAGGGACCGATAAATTTAAATGAAAGAAAATTTTCGAGTAATCATTGCAGTGACGTAAGCCAGAGATAAGCGAGAGATAATTTGATCTTATCGCACCTGAGTGTCACAGTCGTTTTCAGTTTGTGTGGTGGTACGTATCACAAGGCGGGCGGCTTTTGGATTTCGAAAAAGGTCTTGGAGAACAAACAGGTATTCAAAAATGTCTCTATCGTTTCGAAAATAAGGTTTGAAGTGTTCAAGTCTCGGCGTTTGAGTTGTGAAAACGGAGGATTGAATACGAGCGAGTTTGCTAGATAAATATGTCTGGAGCTGCATTTAGACAGATAAGGCATGAACAGTTAAATCAGAATTCGCTAGAAACAACAGCAATTGCTTTACCTAATAATATTCTCATATTGCAATATTGGTTATGTTTACGCACATTTGTATACTGTGAACCATGAATTAACTCCAGAATTACCTACCTGAGGAGTTTTACCATGAGTTGAAGAATTTCTAACTGACGTGGATTATCGAAATTAAAAATGACTCTCCCTGTAACACAGCAAAGGATGAGTGATCAAACATTTCAAAAACACTTCAATTTTGACCCGAAATGTCTTCTCGCTTTGAACAGTATCTTGTTTTCCTGTTACCTCTTTATTTTATTTCAATATTCAGCAGATTAATGTCAAAGTATCCTATCTATAGAATCTTTTGCCTGAAATAGCTTTCAGGCAAACATCAAAATAGTTTGCGCCATCTGCTATTGCACATAATGTGAAAAAACATGTATTTGGTTTCAGGAAAATCGAGAAATATTTATTTTTTGCAACGTGGCAAATCTGAGGCAATACTCATTGCTAGCCTCAGACAATTTAATAAATTGAAGATAGCTTTACAAAGTTCTGAATTCTCAATGGGTGTAGGTTATTATTCGGTAATTTTGATCCTCTTGTTGACTTAAACTGGTAGATACTTGATGAAAATATACCACTCTTTTTTTCTGATCGATTCGGCCGTTACTCAATGAAGATCAATAGTAATTTCATAATAATAATTTATTAAATCCTTCATGATCACAGGTTGATATAGGATACGTCGACATTATACATATATCTTTACAAAACGTGAGATACAACAAGTAAATATATGTGTCACACAAACACAAGGAAAAAAAAAAGAAAAACTAAAGTATATTAAATATTTATACAATACACTCTCATCGACTTAGATATTCAGAGACATTGTAAAAAGAACCGTTGATTAGGAATTTTTTCAGAGTTTGTTTGGAATTCATTTCTTCATTTTCCTTTTTTATATAATCGGGAAGATTATTAAAAAGCTTTGCTCCTACGTAGGATGGACTGTTCTCATATAAATTAATTGAATGTTTTTCCAACCTAATGAAGTTACCATTGAATGTTTTTCCAACCTAATGAAGTTACCATTTCTTGTTGGATATGTATGAAAATCTGAATTGCGGAGATGATTGTGTAAATGTTTTCTAAAATTCAGAATAATTTTGTATATATATATATATGCAGGGTACAGGCAAAATTTTATTTCTGTTAAAATGCGGTCTACAAGATATGGCTTGAGTGAACAGGGGAAAATAGAAGGTTTGACTTCCAAACATTGTTGTATAGCTACTGAAAGACGTGGAACCAAAGTGTGTATATATGGTTTTTTCAGGTCTCGTTGTTTTTTTAAGTTAGGTTGAGCAGTGTTGAATCTTCGGGTACAGGACGTAATCCTCAGATCCTTTTTGGGTTATTTTCAGCACATTATGTGTCGACTTGTAAGTTTATAGTTATAAATATTATGAAAAGTGGTTCAGATCATTGCAAATATATTTTGAAAATAGATATTTCAAGATAATTTGAACATTAGATACCTAATTCTCGTACTTGATACTCCACAACTGATTAAAATAAAACCGTGTGATCAATCATTATCAGATAACTTCCAGATTAAAAATTGAAAGTTATCCAATCAGAATATAACGACACTGAAAACCTCAGCCGTGAAAGTCTAAACCATTTTGTCGAAATAGGATGGAATTCAACTTCCACGTATTCGCAATATCGTTTATTCAAATCAGGTTGCTATGATCAAACTGTTTGATCTTCCTCTTGAAGATGATCACTTGGTGATCGAAACACGTGCCGAGGTGTTAAAATAACGGTATTTCATCTGGAGATAGATATAACTACGTCTAAAAAACTGTAAAGTTATATACATCATAATCTTATGTATTTTATATCATTTTTTATGGTGTTTGATCTGTAATTATTCAGATCACCCCATCTTTTATACATTTTTTTACAATTCTCAGCTTCAAATATATCATCAACTAGAAATATTATCTGTGATAATAATGTTGGATTTTGTCTTGATTCATAGTATTTTCAATACCAACTGGAACAGCACAGAGAAGGAATTCCCGCCTCGACATAGGCGTCGGCATATTATTTTTCAGTGGTAGTTTTTCAGTTACTTATTCTTACAATCATAGCAATTGATCACCCCATGAAAAAATTATCTCGACTGAATTTTTCCACCATGGGTAATTATGAAAAATTTCGAAATTTAAGGTAGTTGATTTCCGAGTCGAAAACTCTAAAATACAAAGAAAACACAAATAATCACACCGAATTCTGGTCAAACATATATTTACAAAATAATAGAGGCCAACAAAATTGCTAGAAAAATCAAAATTCTCCTTCGCTGTATTCGGATGAGGTGGAAGCATCATCGGGTTGAATAACGATCGGATTTGTGGAACTTTGCACATAATATTTGTTCTCTTCGTTGATAACGTGGGCCACACAGTTCTTCCACACATCACTATTACCTACTTCATTCACCACTCGCCTCATATTGTCAAACACCACAACATTCAAAGTCGGTGACTGATTACATTTCCGCAAGCTTTCTTTCATCGTGGCCCAAACCATAACACACCATAGTATGGAGGCAAACGTAAGAGAATATGACCACGTGTTTCACACATCCAATTAATAATATACTCTTTTTTGAAATTACGTTGTTTCATGGTCGCCAGTAATACCTTTTTCATTGGAATCTTTTCGGGTATTTCCATGTCATGATTTCGCATGAAATCAACAATATCTGATTTTTTTGTGTTATTGTTTGGTATTGTAGTCAATAACCGAGAATGATACGAAGCGTCATCCATAACAATAACCGAATTTGGACGAATATTTGGAAGAAGCTGCTCACTGAACCAGATTTCGAATAAAGCCGCAGTCATATCTTTGTGGTAATCAGCAGACGAATCTTTTATAAATTTTGGCCGACAGAAGCAAAGCGTTAGGTACGAAACCACTTTCATTCCCGGCATTTTTATTCCTACATAAAAAATAATTACTTCTTAAAACATCACATTAATTCCATAATTTGCAATTTTGATAACCAATAGCAAATTTGTAAAGTAAAAGATTTGCATACTTTTGTGATTTTCACAATTTGCATTCATTTGAAGAAAGTATGTATGAAGAACAGAATGATATCATAGCATAGCCAAAGTCAGCACAATTTTCCAACAAAATACCTGGATCAGTGTGTTCAAATTCACCTAAATACCGGAATCAAGTTGAAAGCTTTTTAATCTATTGTTGACAAATTAATTTGCAGGTAGTGGTTCCTCTAGTTAATTACCGAAAAATCAATTAGGATAATCATCATTTAACAAATAAAGTCCACATCGGACCAAAAAACTTTAGGTATATAAACAGCTAACCCTTGTCTTTAGATTCAGTATCAATTTGCTTCTCCTGAAGATGCTAACCTTGTTGGCGAAACGCGCGTCGAGTGCAAAAATATCAGTTTGGTATTAGGGTAATTGATCTCTAGAAAAAGTTTTCAAAAATCGGTTTGCAAACCGATTACGTTTACTAACTATCTGGGCGACTAGGGGCCACAGGCAAGAAATGTTTATGACTGTACCAGGGACGCTTTGAACATAAAAGCACTGGTAGTATATACATTTGCCATTTACCGGGCGGTGATTATGAACACCCCTCGTAGTTCTCTTATTTTTATTGCCGTTCCAATTGGGAATGGATAGACTATAGCATGTATTTTGTTTCAGAATTATTATTTGTACATGCGAGTAGTATAAATCAATGAGTAAATGGGAATAAAATCTCGAGTAATGATCCTTCATTGTTTGCTAAATCGCATTTTTTGTTACAGATGAAAAATGGAGCAATTGTTACATGACAGAGATAGAGTGGGGGTTCAGGATGCAGTTCTTCTGGAGGACTATACAAACGAGGATGTTTTTGTAGATAATTTACGTAAAAGATTCAACGAGGATGTTATTTACGTAAGTCAAGACAAATGTTAATCCTTTTAAACATAAAACAATGTCACTGATAACAGGGGTTACACAATTCCATATAATTAATGAAATGATTCATGGTAACATAATTCTTTTATTATATTACTTCATATATGTTTCACAAAAACTCTTCGGATGGTTGATTTTCAACAAAATTACACGGTAATGATTGCATTGTTGAACCTCACCTCAGTGAAACTTTACGTTTATTGTTCATGGAAGAAGGAAGTGCTTCAATTCGCCTGTTATGGAATCGATATGCCTTATTTAATATAGACTTGCCCATCAGAATAAGCAACAAGTAGAAAAACGTGAAAAGCAGATTTAAAGCTTTTTAAAAATACGAGCAAGGGCTGATTCGATTTCGTTTTTTTTTGGTAATACCATTGAAACTATAAATATTTGAAGAATGATACAAAAATATTCTCAAAGAGGAAGAAATTCCCAATAAAAAATCCCGACTCCTGGAAATTATCCTCCATTATTTATAATATTAATTTAACGCTGAAAATAAGGCTCCGTGCGCTTGTTTTATCACAGACGCATAGCCGCTGAAAATAGCGATTCATCGAATTTTTCTTAAGGACAATACACAAGCACTACTTTAACTACAACAAACACTTCAACTAAAAATTTCAACTATTATTTTAATATATATCGCCTTACTAGATCACTTCGCGCACCGCACTGTAACGTCCTCTTCACTGTGTACTTGTACTGAAATACGCTTGCAACCAGCGTTCAAATATCGCAATGGAACATCGTAGAATTTCGCCGAAGTAGCATATTTTTTGCTCCTTCTCGAGCGGCAGGTAACATTGGATATTCCCACGCTCTCAGCTACGTCACGTTCGGTTTATGATTACCAGTGGCGGACGGCGTTATTTCCTCTCGGGCATGACTTACAATACTATTGATTGGATGCCTGAAATTATGTGTGACAATGCCCGTATAAGATGGTTTGACCAAAATTACTAATAGCGTGTTTTTTTCAGACATATATTGGCCCAGTGCTTATATCGGTGAACCCTTACAGAGAACTGAATATTTATGGGCCGAAGACTGTTAAGGAATACGACAATAAACATTTCTTTGAAGTTCCACCCCACATGTAAGTAGAACTAAAACATTTCAAAATATATCATTTGAGACATCATTACCACGAGCAACTGTTGTCACAGACTGCAGGGGGTTGTTTATAAGGTATTTTCTGGCGTTAAATCTTAATCAAGCGTGTATTCAAAAACGATTCGTAGTGAAAACAGTAAAGGTCGTTCTACAAATAATTGGAATACCTTTCCAGCAAAGGGTTACAAGATCCCCTTTCTATTTCGAAAAAAAGTAGATAGCGACCTCTCTGCGGCGAGTGTTGACGCAACATTGGCTTCTTTACCAAAAAGTACTAAAAAGTATTCCCTTTATTACAAATTTTGACCTACTTTGATATCTTGTCTCGTTTGGAAGTTGATAAAAGAGGGAGGGCTCTGTATAAAAATCATATTAAAATGAAAAACTTTTTTTCAAAAGAAAAACATCTGAGAGTCGCATAGGAGCGAGCCGATTTCTTTTCAGACTTATCCTCAAACCACGCTTTCAATTCAATGAGATTAAAGAAATACAAAATTGTGGAGTGATTGATCAAAATGTGGCTTGATGAATGCATTATAAACTGTTGGTAATTCTCTCTATAAATTATCTCGTAAATGTAAGACTTTCTTTGATTAGAGCTAGATCTGTAACAAAAAATGTGTGCCATAAATGAGATAAACGTCTCCTTATCGAATACTCCACTTTAAAAAAATTATCTGCAAGATTCGAAAATAACTTTATATTATGTTCGTCATGAAACAGATGCAAAGTTTAACGTCACAGAGGCGTATAATAAATAACCATACATTCTACGAAAGGTTTAGACCACATGAAATTATTTTCAAATATGATTTTTTCAGAGCTCGCTGAAAGACTTTTTGTAATGTGTTTGAGAAAGGTGCAACTTAAATTTCTCAGGTCCTGAATAAGATCCAAAATTACTTTTCGACGGCGTCTTGTCAGGCGAATTTTGAAACAGCTCAATATCAATAAGACGTCTGCAACCTCTTGGGCTTATTGCGTTTATTCTCCCATCTTCTCATGACACCCATTCCATCAGTCTCGTTCCCTGTACTAGTTTGTACAGGTTTCGTGTTGGATGTTCGTCATATTCTTCTGGGCGTGGTTTTGTACGTCCATATATAGCCTGCCTCCTGTGATTCAGTGCCTCACATTCGCATAAGATGTGTAGAGCTGTTTCTATTCCTTCTTTGCATAATCTGCAGCTAAGGTATCCGTTGTACATCCCCATTTTATTTAGGTGTCCTCTAAACGAACAATGACCGGTTAGTAACCCTGTAATTATTCTGAGCCGATCCCTACTATATTGAAGTAGTTATTCGTTTTTTTTTCTCGGACAGTTCCCTAATAAAGATTCTACTGTGTTTGTTGCCAGGTACTTTTGTTCAGTACTGTGTGTGCTTCTTATTAGTCCATGTCCTAATCTGGTTTCGTACCAATGATTTTGGTACCCCCAGAGCTGGTTCAGGACCTATATATGAAGTTGATGATTCGTGTCTAGCGCATTCATCGGCTTTATCATTACCTGTGATACCTGAATACCCTGGCACCCAGTAAAAAGTTAATTTGTTCCTGTTTGCAAGTTCATTCAGTTCTTCGTGGCATTCCCAGATCAGTTTTGATGTCACCTTCGGGTTTGTCAGAGCCCCTAGTGCGCTCTTGCTGTTTGTTAAAAAATATTGATCCGCTCATTTCTTTGAGGTCTCAATTCAATAAGCCTTGCACACTGCAAGATAGCATACACTTCCGCCCGAAAGACGGATGTATATAGTCCTAGCGGATGGCTGTAGTTTAGATTTCTATCCGCTCGGTATATTCCAGCTCCCGGTCCATGTTTGGTCTTCGATCTATCTGTATACCAGGTGTTTTTTCCAAACATGTTTTCGGGATGACTAATGGTCTTCCACTGTTCACGGCTCATGATTTTGGCCGGTCCAATCTTTTGTAGTTCGGTGAGTTTTCCAGTCTGAATTGGCCCATCCTGGACTCCCCCATTATCACAAGGTGTAAAGAAGGTAGATTCAGGAGTGTCTCCAATACAGCTGTTGGGGTAGTTCTCATTGCTCCCATCATTTCCAAACATGCAAGTGTCTGCACCTTGCCTAGTTTGTTGATGGCGGTCGTCAGCTTCATTTTTGGCCACCAGACTAGAGATGCGTATGTTATCATGGGTTTAACCACCATCCTGTAAAGTCCATATACCATGTCTGGTTTTAGCCCCCATGTTTTTCCATAGGTGCGTCTGGCGAGCTTCAGTGCTACCTCCGCTTTCCTCTTTATCCTGTCCAAGTGTTGGTTCCAGGTCAGTTTGGAATCTAGCATTACTTCCAGATATTTAACCTACCCTTGTATTTCATCACCTCGAAGTTTTAGAGGTCCGAGACCCTCCATTTCAGTCCTCTTGGTGAATGCTACTATGGTCGATTTGGATAGGCTTAAGTTAAGCCCTTTTTCTTTGGTCCATCTTGTTATAATGTTCATCCCTTCACTACATTATTGTATTTACCCTGGACTAAGATGACTAAGTCGTCTGCGTAGCCCAGTGCTTTATACCCATTATGGTCCAAGAGACATAGCAGCTCGTCCATTACAAGGTTCCATAACAGAGGGGGTAGAACCCCCCCTGAGGACAACCGTTGCTACCCGTGCCACGACTGTTTCCCCCATAATGGTTGTATATACCAATCTTCCCCTAAGCATGAAGTCTATCCACTACAGCTTGTCTTGTCGATCCCTCTTCTCCTCGACGCCTGGATGATTGAGTCTAACGAAGTATTGTCAAATGCGCCCTCTATGTCCAAGAAAGCAGCTAAAAGTACATCCTTGTTCCTGTAAGTATAATCTACTTTTTCTGTTACCCGACATAGAACCGTTTCTGCCTGTCAACAGACAGGCATGTATGCGTATTGGTTTCGATGTAATGGTCTGATAGCCAGCAACCTTGATAGTATGGAACATCGAAGAAAGGTTGGGGATTTGTCTTTCATCTATAGATATTTCCACGGGAAGTGTTCAAATGACTTGGCCCATTTGATTCCACCAAGAGCGGTACATATCAGTAATACGGACTGTGACTGCTCATCGTTTTGAGGTTCAATTCAGTACACCTCAAACTTCACTGTTTGAGAAATCTTCCATTTGGAGAATTGCGTTTATGTGGAATAAACTTCGTGTTTCCAAACTTGATTTTTCTCTCTTTTGTCTCACCCAATTGGTGTGGGAAGTAGTTTTTATTAGGAACTGCTGTAGGTCCCTTTTTTGAATTAGGTTCATTTTTATACTTTCTATAGAGTGTTTCAAGTGGAGAAACAAAACCTGAAACGAAATTATACCAAATGAATCACCCAAATTTTTCCATTTTCAGATTTGCCATCACTGACACAGCATATAGATCACTCAAGGAAGAAAATAGAGATCAGTGTATATTAATTTCAGGTAAGTAAAAGCAGTGTTTGTTTAACTGTAACAAAGGTTTCCTCCTAGGAGTAATTTCATAGAATGTGAAATAGGTTTAAGAATCTCAAAAAATATGTTGTTTAGATTGAAAGGTTTATTTTTAGAAGACACCAATTTTTGGGAAACAAAGGTTTTGGCTTTCTACTACTCCATCTTTATATATAGTCCAGTCATTATAGTAAGTTAACCTCGGAATTCGAGATACAAATACTTGTATATTGACACCCTAAAACTTATCTCAAAACCTACATATGGTAGGGTGTAAGCAACTATTAAATTTCAAGGTCAAAGGTCACAAAAATCGGTTTTTTGCGCTTTTTTTGGAAATATCTCATTTCCTATGGGTTTTTTGCTATTTGTATTTATTATCAATATTGTAGAATACAAAATTCTCTACAAATTTTTTTATACGGTGGATCGTTTTCGAGATAGAGAGCGGAGAGCACGCGGTCACAGCATCACTTCAGGTCAACCGGTGCCTCCGGTCGAAAACGCGCCATATATAGTTGATGAACTAGCGATAAATCAATGATTATAAATATCTGTCAATTTTTATTAACTATTATATTATATTTTATCATTTTTTCCTAACTTATCCACTTTTTATTCAGTATTAATTTATTTAACAACACTTACCTGCCCATGTAATTGCAGAATTGTTAATGAAAATATAGGAATTATATTTGAATTTTAACGTAATTAATATTTATAACTTCTTACATGATGAAAAAAAAACAAATAAATTATGAATTAATCTTTTTATTAAAAAATATCATTGAATACATTTATTTTTATTGAAAGTAAAGAAATGGAATAAAGGGTACAAAAACTACAATTTATAATTTTAATCATCTTCTTCCTCTTCATCGTCGTCTTCTGGCTGCTGGTAAATTTCAAACTGGTCTTCATTATCGTCTTCAACGACATTTGTCTCAAGTTCTTCCATGATTTCGGGGTCAAAGGTTCCATCTTCGTTAATGTCGCTCTGATATGGTAGAGCATTGAGACAAGCTTGCCCATTACATTGGCCACAAGCTAAAGAGCATTGCAAGCCCGCTTTCCTACATCCGCATCGCACCACAACCACTCTTGCAGTTGCAGAAAATTGTATTTAGCAAATCTTCTGGAGCAGGTGGTAAAATTGTCATGATAGGCTCCAGAAAATCGTTTCGCATTGCCCAACCCCATACCTGGGGTTCCAAGTCATGTCCTAACCAAGTTTGAACTTGATGATATACACGGTTGAAATGTTGATGAGCAGCTGCACTTGTTGGTGGAATATTTGAAAGCTGCACAGGTTTATTAAGTTTTGTAGACTTGACGTAATGCATAATACATCGGATGGAATACTTCTGATGTTGATATCAATCTTATTGAGGATAATGAATAAAACAACAAATAGCTTATCAATTTTACTTCATTGATTTCGTGTGTTGGTGTTATCTTTTCAATTTTGATCCACTTCATGGAGTTACTTATTGATGAGTTCGGAGTAATGACTTGATTAGAAATAATTTTCTTTTCAATTTAGATAACACATATAAAATGAAACAATTTTGAAATAACAACTTATTGTTTAGTTCGAAAAGGATGCGATAATGATAAGAAAACAATTACTTCAAGGTTGAATTTATCGGTTCTTCTAACTCGGACTTGATCCTCCATTATTATCTCATACATTTTGATCAATCATAAAATATCTCCTCAACATCCAGACAACTCCAGATTTTTTGGATAATAAGTAATCATCTTGATTATTTTTATCAATTTTTGGTCAAGATTTGGTTAGACAAAACTGTTTCGGCCCGCTATAGGTCTCATCAGTATTGCTAGACCCTTACTTATTACTCAACCTTGTCATTTAAGAACAGATTAGTCCAGCATTGTATTTGTGGAACACAGCGTGGAGTAGATCTTTTCAGTCCACACCTGATTCACTGATTTTGGACGATCCTAAACAGTACAAACTGAGAACCAAAACAAATTTTAGGTATAATGAAACAATTGTGGAAAACATTGTATTTTGTATTTTTTAGGAGAATCTGGTTCGGGGAAGACCGAAGCCTCCAAAAAGGTCCTCTATTACATAGCAGAAGTGACAGACCATAGGGGAGAAGTAGAGAAGGTGAAAGACAAGCTGCTGTTCTCGAACCCAATTTTAGAAGCCTTCGGAAATGCCAAAACGACGCGCAACGACAATTCCAGCCGATTCGGAAAGTATATGGACATCCAGTTCAACTTTGAGGGAAATCCCGTCGGAGGAAATATTTTGAATTATCTCTTGGAAAAATCCAGGGTGATTAGTCAAGTACCAGGGGAAAGGAATTTCCATATATTCTACCAACTGTTGTCCGGAGCTGGAGAGGAGCAGCTGAGGGAATTGCATTTGGGAAGGAACCATTCCTCTTACTATTATTTATCGAACGAGGTGAGTACAGGGGAAATTTCAATTGAGAATAAGTCTGTTTCAAGAGTTCATTGGTATTTTAGGGCAATGGAGTCACGAATGGGATAAATGATCATAATGATTTCAGCGAAGTTAGGAAAGCACTGTCAACTTTGGAGTTCTCGCAAAAAGAACAGGCTGATATGTTTTCCATCGTTTCGGCCATTTTACACTTGGGCAATGTTGGATTTTCCGAAGAGGAAGGTGTATCGGTCATTCTCAAACCAGAAATTGTTGGAACTGTGAGCAAGGTTAGTAGGTTTCAAAGTTTAAGTTGCAAACTATGCAATGACAGTTGGACTGATGAGTTTGCAGGCTAACATGGAAAAAAATTGCTAAAATTTTATTTCATTATTCTATATATTTGCCATTTTCATAGTATTGTTACGATATTTACTTGGGGTTCGTTTATAAAACAACAACAGTAATAATACTTAGACAACTTTTATTTACTTAATACACAACCACTGCACTGATTATAATTCACTTAGAATACTCGCTTGCTTGAGACTTCGAACACTCTCTTCCTAATGATCTTGCCGAAGGAACTCGCTCTTTTATAGTAAGATCGATGCATCTAGGATTTCTAGAAATTCCATATCCATCGCGATGCTCTCAGGATCGACGTTGGAATTCTTTTCTTCGAGACGTTTCCAGTTACCGCCTAGGGAGGCAACGCGCGTGTGACGTCATGCTCAGGTAGAGGTCCCTTCGTCGAATTGGGTGACTGTAGTCAGCTGCGACGCTAGGGATTTTGTAACATTATCCCCCTCTCAAATTTGATCGTCCCGATCAAACAATATGTCGTTGTCCCCATTGTATCGTTTGAGTCTTTCTAGGTGAACGACCTTCATTTTTGCTCTGGGGCTACGTTGAATCCTATACACCACGTCATTTATTCTCTTTACTATCGTGTAGGGTCCTTCCCAAGATGGTGATAATTTGGGGGAAATTCCTTTTCTACGACGAGGGTTGTACAGCCACACTCGATCTCCTGCTTTGACTCCACCAGTATTTGCCTTGAGATCGTATCGAGCCTTCATGTCACTAGTCATCTTCAATCTTCTTCTAGCGATTTCGTGGATCCTTGTCAAGCTATCTCGCAGTTCGTCTGCGTAATCTTGCACCTCTTTATTTTCAGCAATTGGTGATCCGAACACCAAGTCACAGGGCAAGCGAAGATCTCTTCCGAATATGATACTGGCTGGGGTGAGCTTTGTGGAATCGTGCACGGCTGCTCGGTAGGACATCAAGAATAGTTGAAGATGTCGATCCCAGTCTTTTTGATGCTCTTCTACTACTTTGGAAAGATGTTCTTCCATAGTCCTGTTGAACCTCTCGACCATGCCATCAGACTGTGGGTGGAGGCAGTTGTTCTGGTCTTGTTAATTCCCATCAATTCACAGACTTTCTTGAATAAATTCGACTCAAATTCGACATTGGCACACCAAACCTTGCATACATGTTATCCACCAGAGCTCTTGCAACTGTGGATGCTTCTTGATTCGTCATCGGAAATGGTCCGGCTACATCGATGGCGATCCGTTCGTTGGACCACCAACGTTGTATTGTTTCATTTCACCTCTGGATCTTGTCCTAGGACCTTTGCTGGCTTCACATCTTGGGCATCTTCGGCACCATCGCTCTACATCTTCACGACACTGAACCCAGTAAAGCATTTGTCGTATTTTATCCAAGGTCTTGTTAACTCCTAGATGTCCTCCCGATTTACCACCATGGATCTCTTCCAAGACGCCACTTATTCTTGACATAGGCACCACCAATTGGGAAATCACTTTCTTGTCATCGGCCGATTCCCAAGCCCTCTTCAGTAGACCATTCTCAACCATCAAGGATTCCCATTGTGCCCACAATGCCTTGAACGTTGGTGATCGATCAGAGACGTCCTTCCAGGTGGGTCTTTCTGCTCCACCTTCCTTCCATTTCAAAAATTCTGCAACGTTTGGATCACCCTCTTGATCTTGTCTCATTTTTGCTGTGGTCCAATTATCGTCTGCCATCACTCTCGCTTGGTTGATTCCTTCGCGTCGTTCAATTCGCTCACAGTGTTTACAAACATCCGAACAAGGTCTTCTGGACAAGGCATCTGCGTTATTATGCAGTCGTCCTGGTCGATGCTTTATCTTGAAGTGATACTGGTTCAGCTTCTCAATCCACCTTGCTACTTGTCCTTCAGGAGTCTTCATTTAGAGTAACTACTTCAGAGCTGCATGATCTGTTCTGATAAGGAACTCTCTTCCATACAGATATTTGTGGAAGTGATCTACAGCCTTCATTATTGCCAGTAGTTCCTTTCTGGTTACGCAATAATTCCTTTCTGGCTTGGTCAGTACTTTGCTGAAGAACTCAATTACTTTTTCCTGACCGTCCTGTTCCTGTGATAGTATAGCTCCTATACTATTATTACTGGCATCTGTGTCCAGGACGAACAGGCCTCGTCGACGTGGGAAACTTAAAATGGGGCTGGAACATAGAGCAACTTTCAGTTTCCCAAATGCTCGTTCACTTTCGTTGGACCAGACGAATTTGACTCGGTCTTCTGTCAACTTCCACGAACCGACGATAGTAGGTGCAGAGACCTAGGAAGCTCCTCACTTCATGTTTGTCTTTAGGTCTCCGCCAGTCTCTGATTGCCTGTATCTTTCTTTCGTTTGTTTGGATGCCGTCTGATGACACTCTGTGACTGCAAAACTCGAGTTTCGAGAACAGTATTCAATTTCTACCTAATGATTTCAGTTGTAGGAGTCTCATTGCTTTTGTAACAGTCGTATATTGCTTTTCTCGATGATTTTATTAGATGAACATCGCGTCTTGCATTCATAAGGTTTGTTTTTGACTATTTTACGTACAGTTGAGAAAGGAATTTCGATTTCTTTCGAAACCAAACTTGAGATGTAGATTCTTATATACATTGAAACATACTCTCTGTGTTTCAATATTCAAATGCATCCGAATCTTATTCACTGGTGTCTCTTTTTCTCATTGTTCACCATCGCTATTAGAATCACTAAACTGGTAAAAGTCTGCGTTGTTATCACACTAGTTATTACTATTAGTACTTGTCCAAGAACGCCACATTTTAAACAGATAACAAAAATTATAAGTAATTTTAACTGCACCAATATCGAATATCAACACTCGAATCGCAATCAGTTCCTGAACTGAACATTGTTGCACGACGGCGATAACCATCCCCGCATTACCTGATTTCTATTCTTCACCGTAACATGACTTCAAATTTAATTTTATGGCTCTTCAGTCAATCTTGAAATTCGGTCAGTTAGTAAAAATTATCCAATACGAACCGCCTAGTCTACGTGGACTAGTCCGCTGCCGTTTCATTTCTATGTATTGTTTTTTTTTTTGGCCTTAGAGAGTGCAGCCATCTTTAAGAGTGCACAATATCGTTTACTTTGACTATACTATAGGACTTCATTTTCAGCTGCTGAGCTGCGACGAAGAAGAGCTCAACCTGGCTCTGAAACAACGAACCATAGAAACAATCAGAGACGTGGTAACCAGCCCTCTGAACAGAGAACTTTCGGTATACGCTAGAGATGCTCTGGCTAAAGCCGTTTACGGAAGGTTATTCAGCTGGTTGGTCAAAAGAATAAACGACTCGCTTCAGCCGCACAATGGAAGGAAGAATGTTGTCATGGGTATCTTGGATATCTACGGATTCGAAATATTTGAGAGGAACAGGTAATCTCGGTTTTCGTGACAACATTTTTTAGTGGATATTTTCTCTTCTCAAGTTGACTTGGGATATTTATGAACCATAACAGGGGTCTCCGAACTACGGCCCGCGGGCCAATGGCAGCCCGCCAGTGTCATCAATCCGGCCCGAGATAGTCAATGATTACCTAATTGTTGTTACTATTGCTGTGATACCTTTTCGGGGCATATTTCTTCGGTTACTGCAATCAAGCATTCTTTTATCATTTCTCCATCGGTGAATGGTTTGCCACGTTTTCCGATTTCAAGAGCCACACGAAATCTGGCGCGAGTTGCAGACTCTTGTTCAGTATTCGCTTCGGTAAACAAAGATTGCTGCGATTTGAGTCCGCGTTTCAAAGCTTCAAATTTTTCCTTCCGCAAACTTCCTGTATACTTGGAGTAACTTTGAAGATGTTTCGATTCATAGCGTCGTTTAATGTTATAGTCTTTGAGAACAGCTATGGTTTCATTACAAATTAAACATAGCGCCTTATTACTGGACTCAATCACAAAATACTGAAAGTTCCATTTTTCTTGGAAAGTTCTGCATTCACTGTCGATTTTTCGCTTCTTTTCCATACTAACAAATCACACATAAAAACAATAAGTCAAATCAAAATACTTTTATTGACGGGTGTTACTTTATTTCACAATAGACAGTTTCGCTTCCTCCGCCTTTCCTACGCAGACTAACTCGCAATTGCGCCGCTAGCCTTTTTATATGCAATTATTACTGCCATCTCGAGGTGATCGGAATACACTAGCTAGAACCAGAACTTTCTCGAATCAACGCGGTAATTCCAAATATTTAATTACGCCTAATGCCACCTAGCGGTAGCTTAAAAAGATAGTACATAGTACCACTACTCGCCACTAGATGTCGTTAAGTGTCACAATACACAATAATAATTAAAATGCAAAAAAAGCTTAAGTTTACTTAGGTCACGCACTTTGTGACTATCCTAGTCTAGAAATATAATTAAGGGCAGAAAATGGACCTTGGAACAAACTGAAAACATCATTATGGCCCGAAGGCTCCAAAGTTTGGAGACCCCTGAACTATAACAATGATGTATCTCTATACAATCATCAGATGATGAATTTCTGTAGTGACTCTTTATCCAGAAAATTATTCACCATTTATATAAATAAACTATTCATTTTATAGTTCAACAAAATATATTAGTGATATTAAGTATCAAAACGTGTTGAAGATTTTATAGAATTGAAAATATTTAGAGCTAATATTACAAAAATTGAAATTATGAATATTATTTAAACCAAGTTAAAAAGTCGGTATTTTTGAGTTCTTATCGACCTTTTTGGGGATTTTCACATTCCATGATCTGAAAAAAAATTGTAATGTGTTTTCCAATAATCACGAGTATTCTTTGGTGATATTATGACAAGAAAATGGTCCCTCTGCACAGGGCACCCTCTGTTTCTGGTACAGAAAAAACACTTGTAGACTGCCTCACTTTCTTTTAAACCCAAAAATGAAGAACTAAATGTTATATCGTTCGGTAAAAGAGAATAATGTCACGCTGGATTCAGAGATTGTTGCTGCAATTATTTTAGGAAGTGCCGGTTTATATTTAGGATATGTCGAAATAACTCCCTTAATCTGGATCTCTAGCGCATGACATGGAAAAAGTTTACTCGAAACTTTACAAGAAATACTTCATAGTCGTGGTTAGCGAATATGGAACTGATCTTCATATTCAAGGAACTACCTCTGTGTTCTTTTATTCTTTGGAAAGAGATTTTTCCTGTTTGGCCAATATAACGTTTTGGACAAGAGCCACGAGTCAATCTATATACTCCTGACCTATCCGACACCTTAATTGTGTTTTTATTGTTTCAAATTGATTTGCTCAGATTACTATTTGTCCGATGAGCCAAATCTGTCACGAGCGATGTTATTGGTTGGTTCACCAAAGTATGACAATCTGCTAAGAATCTTATTATTGTTTATTGGAGTGAGATAGATAGGGACAATGGCTTATTATCCAATAAACATTAGTAACACTATTTTCTCTTATTTTAGTTTTGAACAACTCTGCATCAATTATTGTAACGAAAAACTACAGCAGCTTTTTATAGATTTGACTTTAAAATCGGAACAGGACGAATACGAGAAAGAGGGAATCATTTGGCAACATATTGACTACTTCGATAACAAAATAATATGCGATTTGATCGAAGAAAAACACAAAGGTGAGAAAACTACTAAAAAAGAGTGATTTTTGACTGAACCAGGTGAATTTTTAGTCGAAATTACTGTGAGGATTTTATATAACGTGAAATCTGAGTAGGGCAGTCTGCGGAAATATACTTTCTTCAATTAATTTCTAGGAATGGTTGCTTTCATGGATGAAGAATGTTTGAGGCCAGGAGAACCAAGTGACACCACCTTGTTAGCTAAGCTGAATACCCATCTCAGTCACCATCCACATTACATCAGTCACGAGAAAGCAGACTTGAAGCTGCAGAAAACAATGGGAAGAGACGTAAGAAAACAGATAAATTTCATATTAAAAAGTCACTTCGACAGTTTTTACAAATAGAAGGAGAATTAATTTGAAACAAACTGTTGATTGATATAATTTCGTTAAGTCCTTCCTATCTTTAAATGTAAATAAAACTAAGTGTGTGTCAGATATCTTCAAAATTTTTTATTCATTTGAAAGACCTATTGATGCCATTTTGTGTGGAATATAACATCTTCAAAATGTCCGCTACAGTTTCTCTGGGTGGAGCGCATAAACTCTATCACAATTTCAGATGTCAGAAAAAAGCCATGAAAATTATGGCAAACGTAGGATATAGGGAACAATGGTCAATGTATAGGGACCAACTAGCAAGTTGATCCCTGCCGGGTACCAACTTGCTAGTTTGATTCGGATTCAAATTGTTAATTCGCTATATCTCTGAAAAAACTTCACCGAGTTACTCACGGGTTTTGTTTTCAAGGAATTCCGACTCGTCCACTATGCTGGCGCTGTGAATTACAAAATAGGCTCGTTTATAGAAAAAAATAACGACCTTTTGTTCCGCGATCTCCGCGAAGCGATGGTCAATTCGAAGAACAGTATTATACAGTCTGTCTTTTTGGAGTCGGAGCAGAAGAGTAAGAAAAGGCCCGAAACGGCGATAACGCAGTTCAAAACTTCAGTGAATAACCTCATGACTATTTTGAAGGACAAGGAGCCCTCTTACATCAGGTGTATCAAGCCAAATGACTCAAAGAGATCAGGTATGTTATTTACAGTCTACTTTTCATTGCTTCAACACTTTGACTATTTTCAAAAGTTCACAACAGAAAAAAAATAACTAGTTGAAACAAACAACCTATCCTGAAGCCACTAGTTGAATGAACTGTCATCAATCCGCAAAACTTGAGTTTGTGATATACCTAATTACTGGATAAATTGATTCCTAATATTTATTACAAATGTAGATCATAATATTCTGAATGAAATTACCCACTGATAGTAGAATTGAATAGATTCATATTGCTAACAATCCAATTCTATAAAATAATTGTGTTATACCAATGAAATTTGTAAATGTAACTGATGAAATTTTCAAATGATATTTATACTCGTTGTTCTACTGCCAATAATATTGCATGAATAAATAGGTTCGAAATATGTTTTTCCCTTAACCAACTATCGCACCCCTACGAACGACAACCCTCAGAATTCGTGATATTTACATAAAATTGTATAATTGTACTCGATACACTTGTTACTTTAAATACAATTGTAACAGTTTGTCACAATACTTTATAAATATTATCTAGTAAATACAGACAAAATAAAATTGTGGATGAATAAGATTGATACTACTGCCAATAATATTGTATAAATTCGTGATATTTACGTAAAATTGTATATATCAATGAAATAATTGTACTCGAGACAGTAGGTACTTCAAAAACAATTGTAACAGTTTGTCGCATTACTTTATAAGTAGTCTCAAGATACTTAATAGACAATAAAATATTGGGGATATGGAATGAGATTGTTACTACTGCCAATAATATTGCATAAATGTGTGATATTTAGGTGAAATTGTATATATTAAAGGTATAATTGTACTCCAGACAATGGTACTTCAAATAAAATGTCACAGTTTGTCACATTTCTTTACAGTCTCAAGATGATGCAGACAATAAAATATTGTGAAGTCTCAAAACTGAATTGGAATATTTCTGTAAAAAATTTAATATCGATAAAGTTGCAGACAGCTGAAACTGTATAGATATGTATGTGTAGAAAACTAAACTGGCTTGTGATATAATTGTTGACAAAACAGTATACGGTGACGATGTTATTGACAGTAATAATAATATCAACTGCTAGGCTCCAATACTAGTAATGAAATTTCGAAAACTCCTTGATGTTCTTTCTGATGAAATTATGTACATCCGTGATATCAGTACCAATGAAATTCTGAACTCGATATATCCCCTAAATAAAAATTGTGTAGAGTAGTAGTGTTACCTTCAATAAAATTGTTTGAACTCGTAATTCCTGAAGGAACTGTGTAGCCTAGGAACCATATCAAAATTGTATAGGCTTGCATGGTAGCCTCTTATAATAGTATTACAGTGATGCATGGTAGCATGATATTCCTCCTCCCTATTGAGTTTATGGACTTGTAATTTGGTAAAATTAATCTCGCTCAAGTTATATAGATCCTCAAGCTATAAAATTATAAAAGCTAGTGTGGTAATATTCCTAATAAAACTGTAGAGAATCATAGTATTATCCCGTTTTTTTCCAGGTCATTTTGACACTGATCTCGTAACAAATCAAATCAGATATTTGGGTTTGATGGAAAACCTGCGAGTCAGGAGAGCTGGATTTGCCTACCGCCGCAACTACGAGCAATTCCTACACAGATACAAATGTTTATCAAATGAGACGTGGCCGAACTATCGTGGAAATGCTAAAGAAGGCGTCCAAATACTTGTGAATTACCTGGGCTACAGCCAGGAAGAATACCAGATGGGAAAGTAATGACGTGTCAACAATAAAAAACCCGATTTCATTCAATTCCCCGCTTTTCAGGACAAAAATTTTCATCAGACATCCCAGAACCCTCTTCCGAACAGAAGATGCCTTCCAACTGAAGAAGCATGAGATCGCGTCGATAATTCAGGCTTCTTGGAAAGGCTTGCTTCAGAGGAGGAAATATTTGAAGATGAGAGAATCGGCTATCGTTATGCAGAAATATTTCAGAAGATTCCTCGCTATTCGCCTAGCAGAAAGGAGAAGAAAGGCTGCTGTCGCTATTAGAAAGTAAGTTTTCAACTGTACATTCTCTTTTTTTCCAGCGAGCATTCTCTTGAGGTGTGAGAATAGAAAAAAGTCGCTAGGGGTTAGATCTGGATTGTATGGTGTATGCAATTCGAAGCCCAATTCATCCAATTTTGCCATTGTTGACATTGATTTATGACACGGTGTATTGTCTTGTTGCAACAACAAATGGAGGCGTTTTTCCACGATTCAAACCTTCAACCGCTGCAATAACGCTATGTAATAGTCGCTTTTGATGGTTTTTTTATGATACCATAACCTTACCAGCTGGTTGTCACGTCTTTGCACGCTTTGGAGTTGGTTCACCAAGTACGGTTCACTCAGATGATGATCTTTTTGGTTCTGGAGTGAAATGGTGGAGACATGTTTCATCCATTGTCACATATCGTCGCATGAATTCGAGTTTTTTATGGTCGACCAACTTCAAACACTGCTCGGAACCATCAATTCGTTGTAGTTTTGGGTCGACTGTAAGCTTACGCAGCACCCACTTTGATCAGAGCTTTCGCATACCCAAATATTTATGCACGATATGTCTATAGTATTTCCAATATGGAACAGCACAGAGAAGGAATTTCCGCCTCGACATAGGCGTCGGCATATCATTTTTCAGTGGTAGTTTTTCAGTTACTTATTCTTACAATCATAGCAATTGATCACCCTATGAAAAAGTTATCTCAACTGAATTTTTCCACCATGGGTAATTATGGAATTTAAGGTGGTTGATTTCCGAGTCGAAAACTCTAAAATACAATGAAAATACAAATAATCACACCGAATTCTCGTCAAACATATATTTACAAAATAATAGAGGCCAACAAAATTTCTAGAAAAATTAAAATTCTTCTTCGCTATATTCGGATGAGGTGGAATCACCATCGGGTTGAATAACGATCGGACTTTGCACATAATATTTGTTCTCTTCTTTTGTAACGTGGGCCACACTATTCTTTCACACATCACTATTACCTACTTCATTCACCACTCGCCTTATATTGTCAAGCACTACAGCATTCAAAGTCAGTGACTGATTACATTTCCGCAAGCTTTCTTTCATTGTGGCCCAAACCATTTCAATTGGATTGAACACGCAATAGTATGGAGGCAAACGTAAGAGAATATGACCACGTGTTTCACACATCGAATCAATAATATACTCTTTTTTGAAATTACATTGTTTTATGGTCGCCAGTAATACATTTTTCGTTGAAATCTTTTCGGGTATTTCCATGTCATGATTTCGCATGAAATCAACAATATCATCATTTAACGAACAAAGTCCACATCGGACCAAAAAACTAACAGCTAACCCTTGTCTTTAGATTCAGTATCAACTTGCTTCTCCTGAAGATGCTAACCTTGTTAGCGAAACGCGCGTCGAGTGCAAAAATATTTGTTTGGTATTAGGGTAATTGATCTCTAGAAAAATTTTTCAATAATCGGTTTGGAAAACCACTCACTACCTCACCTAACCCCACGAACACACGGCACTGATAAAGAAATATTGTGAAACGGACAAAAAGTTAGTATTCAGCCAGTCCAGCTAGCCGAGCCTTTATTCCTCAACTACATTTGATAGCACGTTTACTAACTATCTGAGCGACTAGGGGTCACAGGCAAGAAATGTTTATGACTGTACTCTTATTTTCATTGCCGTTCTAATCAGTGACGGATCCAGACCATGATTTCGGGGGGGGGGGCAATCGAGATTTCTTAGTTCACCCCTAACTTTTCAAAACCACCAAGTTATAGATAAATACCTTACCTGTAGGTCTACCCTACGTTTTGATTCATATAGGAAAATATGTTTTAGCTATTATATTCTACCATGTAGTGTGGAAAGTTCATTTATTTACTTATCAAAGCAACAATAACAAATTGTAATGGCGATTATCGAAATGGTTTTGTCACAAGGTTGCAAATTTCTTCTGCCACTACCACCGCCCAAATTAAAATAAAATTAGAACGTACATCAAATTAATTATTTTTTTGAAAGGTTGACGCTCCAATAAAAAGTTTGCAATTCTTAAGCACACATCCCTAAGGGAATTTTTTTCTGGGGGGGGGGGGCACTTGCCCCTTTGGCCCCCTCCTTCGATCCGTCGGTGGTTCCAATTGGGAATGGATAGACTATACCACGTTTCTACGTTATCTATAGAGCCTCAGGTATGGCAATCGAGTTTACTTTGAGGTCATCCAAAATTATTTTGGATGCATCGACCTCGGTGTTTATTTTACCTCGCTTAAACTGAGCAAACCGCTAAAAAGCAACAGATGAAATAACTTTTTGTCCATTTTATTCAGACCAACAAAAGTTGCTTCACTCAAAACGTTCTATCCCATAAATTAATAGCCCGACAGCTGAGAAATTTGTACACGTGCCTTTTGAAGGTTAGGATCAACTAAAAATCATATAAATTTGATATTAGTAGCGCCATCTGTGTGTTGGACTGGGAACTGTTCATCCCACGTAATATTTTCTCTTTCACCTGTTTCCGATGTTGGGATATAGGTACTTATTACTAATTTCCTTTCCAAGGTTCATCAAGGGCTTCATCACAAGAAACGGTCCACCGACAGAAGAAAACAAAAAGTTCATTCGTCTGGCCAAAATTCACTGGTTGAACAGGTTATCCAAGAGCCTTCCGAAACACATCCTTCATCGAAACGATTGGCCAACATGCCCCAACGTTTGCAAGGAAGCTTCCGAACATTTGAAAAAAATGTATGCCAGCCATTTATCGAGGGTTTATCGGCTGAAACTCACCCCGGAAATGAAGCGACAACTGGACCTCAAAGTCCTGGCGGAAAGTGTATTCAAAGGTACGCAAATCGATTATGCGGGGAAAACATGTCTACGATTTCGTAAACTTTTTTCAGGTAAAAAGAAATCTTACGAAGAATCAGTACCCAATATGTTTTTATTCGACAGAGTGCCTGAATCGAGTTTTGCCCTCAAAGAGATGTATTTGACGCAACTTAACGGAGATAAAGAAGTTGTGAGTATTTACTGCACGTCCATAAAATTGAAAATTTTTAAGCAGTCATTATTTATCAAAAACACAGCTTTTTATGAACTTCGTTTGAAAAACGTAGAAGATTCCACTTCTTCAGGGTTGATTAACATAAATATACAAAATCAAATCACAACTAGAACGGATATAATATTCATTTGCCTTTTATGACACAGAGTATCCTTCTATGTCAAATAAGTACGGAGGATTAGTCAATTTAACGCAAAATATGTATTATTTATCTAAATTTATTGTATCGCCTTCAAAGTAGGTTCTTTTCGAAATGATATACTCACGCTGAAGAACAACCCTATCAAAACATTGTTTTAAACATATTTTTGAAGTCGATTCGGTAGTCATTGCTAGTTCTCTTTTATGTCATCTATCAGCTGAAAACGGGTGCTCGAAGTGGTAATTTGAGTTTTGGAAAGAGCAATAAATTGGCCGGAACCATATCAGGTGAATACGGTGGCTGTTTGATACGATTTGTTGAGTTTCTGACCAGAAAATCATGAGATGGTGCGTTATCGTGGTGCAAAATCCATGAGTTTTCTTTCCACATACCATACAGTATCCCTGGCCTTTTTTGGTAGGTTTTCGCCTTTGGGAAGTGCCTGCGTGGCTCATCGGTGTCCAACCACTGTCCTATTGTCGTAGAGGATCCACTTTTCATCACACGTGACGATCCGATGATCGTTTTAGTTGCAGAAAAGCAAAGAACAAACTTAGAAACGTGACAATTTTTGTCGATCGTCCAAATCGTGGGCACCCACTTTTCGAGATTTTTTATCTTTCCAACCATCAAAAACCGCATGGGAGCTGACGCCTAGTTCTTCCGCCACATCCACGTGGATAATGGAATAAAAAAATGTAATATTGATGTGAAATGTTGTAACCTCGTCAATATTATATGTTGACTATCCCAGCAATTTCTTGTTATTTCTTCTTTGCATACCTACTTTTAATCTTTCGATTTTCTGGATACACATCACGTAGTCAGAAAAAGGACTTGTTCGATTGATGACCTATTTATTTTGTAGAAATTCATTTCGAATATAGGACAAAGAAAATAACTTTTGTCTTATTTCAACTATTTTTCATTTGGCAGGTACCTATTTCAAGTACTTGTCTGTATCATAGATATAAACATATACTTTATTGTCCAAGAAAATATAATCTTATTGACAAATATTGTTAAAACTGATTCCAATTTTTTATTCAAAGCTGAAATATGTTGATCAAATTTTAATTTGTTATCCATGAAGATTCCTAGGAATTTGGATTGGTTTTTATACTCAAGAATTTGTCCATTCAAGTATGAATTGTTAATATTACAGCTGAAGGCGGGTAGCTTTGTTTTTTTTTTAATATTAAATCACAAAAAGTTTGCGTCACACCATTTTTTTACAACTTCTAAATCACTAGAGATAGTTTCTTTCATATTAGAAATATTTTTTCCATACCAAAGGAGCATGGTGTCATCCGCAAAGATCGTGAGAGAGTAACAAGGCCATTTACATAGATAAGGAAGAGAATCGGGCCCAGTACTGATCCTTGTGATAGTTTTTCTTTTGATCTTACTGTTTTCTATAACTTAAGTAAGACCTGATTCAGTCATTACACACTCCTCTAAAGCCATAGTAGTTCAACTTTTGCGAAAGAAGTTCATGATTTACACAAAAGCTTTGGAGAAATTGCAGAATACTGCAGGTACGACCTCACCATTGTTGAGATGTGTTTAGACATGTTCAAGAAAGGAAAACATCATTTCTGCCTTTTGCCTTCTGAAAGCCAAATTGACAGTTGGTTAATATATTGTATTTATAATGAAAAGCTAATACCCTTTTTTACCATTTTTTCTATGATTTTTGAGAGTGTATCACTGTATATTAGTAGAAATCAAACAAAAGTTATTTTCTTCGTCCTATATTGAAAAAGGACTATTTCGTCATTTACTTCTTTACGTCATGGTGTGAATGCCATCATTTGATATTAAATACCTCCAAATCTGTTTCAATGAAATTTTATAATAGAAAAAATAACATTCCAGATGGAGTTGCCATAACTGATGGAATAGCCATGGGACATAATGTTAAATTTCTAGGAATCATGTTAGATGAATTTTTAAATTGGGATCTACATATTGATGAGGTTTGCAAGAAACTTAATGCAGCATTCTTCGCGATTAAGCAGATAAAATTGCTTTCAAGTATATATTTTGCAATGGCATATCCGCATATTTCCTTAAATATAATGTCATGGGGATGTGGTAGATATTTTAATAGAATCACAACACAACAAAAAAATATTTTTTGAATGTTTCCTACACTAAATTAGTCAATTTCTACTAATTTTGGGGTGATAAAAACGAAAATAACAATGAAAAATTTTTATTAGCTCTGGTTTTTGAGATACACAGTACTTAATCTTAAAGAGTAGTTATACTATACGTGAAAAGTGAAAGTACATAAAACAATATTGTTATGTTTCTTTTAGAATATTTTGAGTACAAAATTAATAAAAAAAACATTATTCTTAGTGTTTTGACAAATAAAAGAAGTTTGTACCACCAAATTTCAATTAAGTCCATCCGATTCATTGTAAGATCGCTGTCGTTTAGCTTGTCTTTTATAAAACAC